CCCCCCAGCCACTGAGCTCTGCCTCTTGGTGGCTGCATTATGGTTGTCCAAATCAAGAAACTCTTTGGGACTCTCTGGCCTCTCTTGGGATTCATCTGACTTCTCATCTTCAGGCCCTGGATCCTGCCCATCGCCTGGAGGAACCTCTTTGGCGCTTGCCACGTCCATTCGGTTTGGGGACGCCAGGGCAGTGCTGAATGCCTCACAGCCCTGCAGGCTACCCATATTCCCTCTGTCTGAGAAAGAAGGCCTGGCTAGAGGTGGGTGAGCAGGCGGATGCCCACCAGGGTTGGCCTGGGGATGAAGAGGCCTTTGCCAGTCGGAGTAGCCTTGTGGACAGGTGTAGTATGGAGGCCGCTGGTAATGGTGGTAGGTAGGTGGAGGCTGTGGCTGATAGGGGTATGGCACCCCCTGAGGGGGGCGATACCGAGGAAAGACACCAGGATGAGTGTCACTGTGCTGAAAACCCCGAGGGGGGAAATGCTGTGGATGGGACACGGAGGGAGGCTTCCCTCCCATCATAGGGCCGAACCCCTGCAGTCCTGGATTGATATGGTAACGTGTGGCTGAATTCGGATACTCCAAACCAGGCATGTAGAGAGGGTGAAACTGGCTCGGAGCCCCGCCCACTGCGCTTCCATCCACACCAGGAGTACCGGTGTTCTGTGCCATACAAGGCACAGCCACCTCCGACAAAGTCTTCCCCCCGGGACAGAGGGGCTTCTCCAAGATGTTAACAGCCAGTCCTTTCCCCTCATTGCCACTGGAGGGCCCTTCACCTACAGCTCCATTTTCAGGCCCAGGCCCTCTCTCAGGTGCGGTCACAAGGTCCCTCATGCATGCCTGGCCCGCTGGGCCAGTGTAGGCGCTCTGTGCCGGCCAGGCATTCTTGCTCTGCATTGCCTTGGGGTCATTCTTAGCTCCAGAGTCTTCCCCCTCTCCCTCCGGTGCCAAGCTCCGCCTGGTGCATTCCATCTGCAGGGAAGGGTTGGAGTGAGGTAGTAGTTTGGGGTACGTCCCTTCTGGAATACTGATGCACTGGGCCTTCTCTTCTACTCCAGGAGGGGGCTCCACTGCAAAAGGGGTAGTGGAAAGAATTTTTTTTTTTTAAATTGCAACTATGTTCCATTACACAACGTGGACATTTTCCTCTCCTAAAGCCCACTTGCCAGTTAGTCATTCCCGCCACTTGAACCACATGCACCAAACGTCCCCAGGATCTAGATTCTGCAGGGAGAACATCAGCCCCCCTCTTTCCTTCCCATTCAATCCACTGCAAAAGGGGTAGTGGAAAGAATTTTTTTTTTTTAAATTGCAACTATGTTCCATTACACAACGTGGACATTTTCCTCTCCTAAAGCCCACTTGCCAGTTAGTCATTCCCGCCACTTGAACCACATGCACCAAACGTCCCCAGGATCTAGATTCTGCAGGGAGAACATCAGCCCCCCTCTTTCCTTCCCATTCAAACCA